TTATTGAGTTGGTCAACGGAAATTACTCAGTCTTCTTTTGTGCAAAATTTACGGCAATCATGCACTTTGATATTAAGATTTCAGTCGGTCCCACGATGCAACACTACCACCCCAGGCGACATCTCTTCGCGTACACGTAAGAAAAGAGCGAGACAACAAGGGCGCACATGCTAAACCGCAAAACAACAACCATTCATATAGTTAACGATCTGACTGCTTCATGTTTAGTACGAAAATGAATGATAATACCGGTAAGCTTAATGCATTGTTACCCGAATTATGATTTTTGCAGCGCATTTGTGCCTGATCTAAGAAAAGATTTCAACAAGACCGATAAGGTGTTTATTTGATTAAACCACGTCAATTCGTGAATGCCACAGAATCTATGCCAATTTAATCAATTTCAAAAAGTGTGATGAAGCAACTTACCAAAAAAAAGTGTCGGAAACCAGCAAAGCATTTCAGTTCCAATCAGTGTAGCCATTTTCAATATAATCGCCCTATCTTCTGGCCGTTTCGGCTGTTCAGGATCTCGCAGCATAATGACAATGAGGATGTAGCTAATTGCCATGCCCAGAAATGCTAGCAAATTGAACAGCAAGCTTATGATTATGTAAGCCTAAAATTGCGATCCACTGGCATACGCGGATTCGACAGTAAGATGACGCCACAAAATTGACGTCACGCCCCTTTTATCGCATTTTTCTTTACCTCACGCGATAATTTTGTCGCTTCTTGAGTGTAATCAGAACTAGTTGCCACTGCTAATATGGAATAATTGGAACAGCTGCTGTTTTACAGCCTAATTCGCCATCTATAGAGCCGGCAACTTTTCCAAATGTTATGGTCAGTGCTGTAACCTGCTGGAAATCTTGATATTCGTTTTGTCTTCTCAAGGGATTACCTGTTAAATGGTTCTCCCAAACAGAAGCACTTGGCAAGACTTTAGTTTCTCTGTGATTTCCTTGCTGCGTGTTAACCATCGTCATTTCATCTCGAACATAATGAGGCCCCTTATACTCTAAGAGACTGCTAAAAAAAAAAAATTGGTTTGTACGCGAATAACAAACCCTGTCAATGTTATCCTCAATTGAAAGGGGTAAACAAACACTGGTACTGGTATATGTGGAGACACCGACAACTGGCAATATTGCCATCGTAAAAGCAATGAAATATGCCATAGCCATCATCACAACTGCTGTTCTCATCCGTAGCCGCTTACCGTAAAATGCACTTCTGAAAATGTTAACCTTCCAGAAACCTTTAAATCTCTTTTTTTTAGAATCAAGAGTGACGAGTAGTTGCTGTCATTATATATGAGCCCTATTAGAGATGAATCAAAAAGGCGTATCAACTAATTTAAGCCAATGAAGAACGAGAAGGACATATTCCAGTTCGGTAAAACAAAATCATAAATAGTACGCATCTATACGTTAATATCAGTACAATTTTGGAAAGATTTTCTCGAATTTTAGATGGGTGTGTTTCACAGTTTTGAAGCTGGATTACATTAAAAAACAAGCGCAGGAAAAACTATGCAAATGCACCCACAAATAAGCAATGATTGAGCTTTGATGCTTTTTATGCGTTTTTGCTGTGCAGCGCTATACCGCTGCTACAGCCAGCAAAAACATATATTGTCGAAAGGCTGTCTGTGTGTGTTTGTTCGGAAGCGAGTGCATTTTGTCACCTAGTTTCATCTCAGCAACCAGAAAAGCTGGGATGCTGAAAAGTTGGGTATATGTTCCTTCCCCGTGTGCCGCCCCCCCCCC